CTTCAAAATGTCAATCTCACTCAGGTCATTTCCTGTAACTACAATGTCATCCACATAAACTATCAGAACTGATACCAGGGACCCCCTTCGCTTCACAAAGTATGATCTGATTGAGTCTGAGTATAGCCAAAAGCAATCAAGGCCTTCCTGAACCTGTCAAACCATGCTTTGGGAGACTGTTTTAAACCACAAAGAGACTTCTTCAATCTGCATACCTTCCCCTTTTCAGCATCACTGTAGAAACCAACAGGAAGATCCATATACACTTCTTCTTGTAGGTCCCCATTAAGAAAGGCATTTTTTATATCAAGTTGGAAAAGGGGCCAAGAGTATGTAGCAGCAGGAGAGAGAAGGATCTTAACAGAAGTCATTTTTGCAACTGGTGCAAAGGTCTCTAAGCTATCAATGCCATAGGTTTTAGTGTACCCTTTTGCAACCAGTCTAGCCTTATACCTTTTTATACTTCCATCTGCCTTGTATTTAACTGTATAGACCCATCTGCATCCAATAGTTTCCTTGCCCTCTGGTAGATCCACTATCTTCCATTAAGGCTTCCATCTTTTCCTACATAGCTATCTTCCACTCAGGTTTGGAGAGAGCCTCATTGACACCCTTGGGTATAGACACGGAGTCAAGGGAAGAAAGGAAAGCACGATAAGAAGGAGAAAGTCCATTGTAGGATAGGTACTGTGAGATACAATGAGCAGTACACTTCTCTTCCCTTTTCTGAGTGCAATAGGAAGGTCCAGGTCATTTGTAATGGGATTAGTATAATCAATAGGAACTGAAACATTAGAGGGATCAAGAGAAATACCTGAGTCCAAGCCGAATCTGGAGTCTCCAAGGAGTCGATAGGAAGTGATGTGGGTTCTTCTACAGTGGAATCAACCTTCCTGTGAAGACGTAGGTGTTGTCGTAACACTGAGAAACAAGACGCAAGGGAGGTGGTAAGATAGGTGACGTAGGAGGATCAGACATAGGAGTGGACACAGGGACTGGAACTGGAAGAGGAGTAGACTGCACACTTCCCTCCCCAAAACACTCCCCCTGAGAAGAACCCTTCGGGAAAAAAGATGTGGACTCAAAAAAGGTAACACTCATAGTAACATACCAACTCCCAGAGATAGGGTCATAGCAACAGTACCCTTTCTGATTTTCTGCATACCCAAGAAAAACACACTTCTTCGCCTTTGGATCAAGCTTCGAGCGGTGAGGACTAAGAACATGAGCAAAGCAAACACAACCAAAAACCCTGAGAGGGATGTGGAACATCTCCCCCTCAAGAAAAAGAAGGCTGAATGGGGTGCTAAATCCAAGAACACGAGAAGGCACCCTATTAATCAAAAAGACTGTTGTGAGAACTGCATCACCCCAAAACCGGATTGGAACAGTAGAGGTGATCATCATGCTCCTTGCAATCTCAACAATGTGTCCGTTCTTCCTTTCTGCTACACCATTTTGCTGTGGACTGTAAGAACAACTGCTCTGATGAATTACTCCATACTCTAATAGATACGAAGCAAGGTTCTTCTCAAAATATTCCTTGGCATTGTCTGATCCGAACACCTTCACTCGTACCCCAAACTGTGTTAGCACCATCTGATGAAACTATCGAACCAAGGACGGTACCTCAACACGGGATCTCATCAAGTAAATCCAAGAATACCGATAAAAATCATCCACAAATAAAAGAAAGTATCGGTAGCCACCCATAAAAGGAACATGGTATGGTCCCCACACATCAATATGAATAACATCAAAAGCAAATGAACACCTTTTATTACTATCTTTAAATGAATGTCTACAATGTTTTCCAAGCTGTCAGCTTTCACACTCTAGGCTAGACAAATTAATAGACTCAAATAGCTTTGGAAACAAGAAACAGAAAGAAGGAAAAGACAAATGTCCCAAACGATTATGCCTAAGTATAACCTGACCCACAAACTCTGACTCAAAATCCCTGCTAACATGATGACTCTGATGATGAGGAAGCGCATCCAGAAGGTAGATTCCATTCACCTCACGACCACTTCCAATTGTCCTCTTTGAAACCAGATCCTGCAAAACACAATGGCCAGGAGAAAAAATCACTGAGCAATTCAAGTTCTTCGTTAAACTACTAACAGATAATAAGTTAATACTCAATTTGGGTACATGAAGGACAAAGGGTAGGGAAACGGAATCAGAAATCTTGGCAGATCCCTTCCCATCAATGGGAACATGGGATCCATCGGCTATGGAAACTCTGTCTTTGCCAGAACAGAGTTGGTAAGAAGAGAAAATAGTGGAAACTATGGGTCATTTGTTTTGAGGCTCCATAATCTATAATCCAAGGAGGTCCCTCCTTACCTATAGTAGAAACATAGTTTGCAGTGGCATGTGAACTACCTGTATGAGCAAAGGAAGTAGAATGTCCACCACCAGAACCACCTGTACCTAGTTGTCCACCTAATAACGGATTAGGGTTGATTGTATCTCGCTGATTTAGTAACTGCCCATATCTCTCAAGTTCGGCCCTCACTGCAGTAGCTGCAACAGACTCCAAAGTAGCTGTAGTAGGAGGGTCAGGTAAGTCACCAGTGACTGCCATGTTAACATTTCCCTTCTTGCTTTTGAGTCTATTCGGCACAAGGTGAGAATGAAGCTTCCAGCAGGTATCCCTCGTGTGTTTAGGCTTCTTACAGTAGTCACAGATAAGATCCTTCTTATCTTCCTTTCTGATTTCACTACACCCCGGTCTCCACCCTGTTTAGGTTTCACAGTACTGACCATAGCTGATTGGTCAAGACCCGAATTCTACATCATCACATTCCTCCTACTCTCTTCCCCTGATACAAAGGCATATGCTTGAGAGAAACACCATCCCTAGAAAGGATATGTTGCCTTGCAATGTCATATTTGGGATTAAGACCAACAAGAAATTCAAAGACTCTATTCTTCTCTAAGAGTTTTTGGTAGGCAGCTACATCCTTAGTAGTTTCCCAAACCACTGTCTCCAGATGGTCAATCTCCTGCCACAGGGTTTTAAGGGCCGAAAAATAAACAGCAATAGGTTTATCTTCCTATCTAGTAGCAATAACCTGGTTCCTCAACTAATAAGCCCTAGCAACATTTTTACTCTGAGTAGGTTTCTGCAACCCCATCCCAAATTTCCTTAGTTGTATTTGCCCACAAAAAAATTTTACTTATATGGGGCAGCATAGAATTGCACAGCCAAGTCATTACCATTTAATTTTCCTGTACCCACTGGGAGTTGTTAGTCTCGGGTTTCACTTCCTCACCAGTGATATACCCCAAGTTCCCACGAGCACCAATAGCCACCTTTGCAGATTGTGACCATTCTAAATAGTTTGTACCATCTAACTTAACTGTAGTGATGATCCCAGCCCTGAAAAGGTCTCCGACACCTCCTCTCCTTGTGTCGTTTCACTTCCCAGTTTATTTTCAACTCCGTGATGCTCCATTATTCCCAAAAACGGGTTAGAAAATCACTTTGAGATGAGGAAAAAGAAATAATTCCCTTCAGGCACCACACACACCTTCTAGAACCCTAGATGGTCCTCCCACAAAAGAATCCCTTTTTGCGGGACGGGAGAAGAGAGAGAAGAAGCAGCTGCTCCCTCCAGAGGCCTCCAAAACAAGTGGGACTTCAACTGCCCCCTTCAGAGAACTCCAAGGAACCATAAAAAATTAGGGTGCCACTTCCTAGGTCAAAATTGAAGAGTCCTACAAAAACAAGATTCTCCCTCTTTCTTTAGTTCTTCCTGAATTTGATAGGAAACCCTAGACTAGTTATAGGGCAAAACAGATCCACCAAAAAATCCAAAAATTGGGCTTACTTGAGGTCTTCGATCAGCCTCTCATATCACCATGCAGTCGATCGATCTAGGGCTCCATGATAGAGTAGCTCAAGAAACCTTCGGCCTGCTCTGATACCAAGTAGAAATTGCTGATAACTGATTTAGATGAATGCTTTGTGAAGAAAAGAAGAAGAATGAAAAGAGAGAAAGAGAGAGAGGAAGAAAAGAGAGTGGGATGTCACCAAAATTGAATAGGTCTGGCCGCCAACCCCTCTTGATTTATATACTTAAAATAAAAGAATGAAACATTACAAAAAGACCCTTAGTAGGGCGGCTACTTTAAGTAGCTGAACAGTCACAATTTAAAATAACATAAACCAATGGGCCTAAGGCCCAATAACTTAAAATCAGCCCAAACTCAACAATAACAAGATGTAATTAGCGATTATCATGAACAAGTATAAAAGGAGAAGTAGTTGTACTTGCAGAATAGGGAAATGGAGACTCAATTCTTCCTTTTCTCTTTCACATTTTTCAGGAGGCAGCTCCACCCTCAAAGAGGAGCTTGAGTTGGGCAGCTATCCAACACACAACCCTTTCATGTCTTCCACCTCAAAACCCTTACAAAGAGCCTCCCTCATCTGGCCTTCTCAAAACTCTACTCAATATCTCCATAACAAGAAAGAATAGCATTGGGAATAGAGGGCCTCCCTTCTTTAAACCCTTAGAAGTTTTGAAAATAAAATCCTTTTGGCATACCATTTATAAGAGTGGAAGAGTTAGATTTGCTTGTTGGGTCCACCTTAAGTTCATTATGGTTTTAATGGTTCTACAGCAGTGGACCTGCACTTGTTATACCAATTACCATCACCTTGAGAAGCCTTCAGTTGGATTTCTATACTTAAGACTTTCTTTTTCTTATAGAAGGAATCTTTATTTGGGTACATCTTGAGTCCACCTTAAATTCATTATGGCTTCAATGTGGACCTGCATCTTCTTCTATCAATTACCATCACCTTGAGAAGCCTTCAGTCAGGTTTCTATACTTTAATGTTCTTTTGCTTATAGAAGGAATCTTTCTTTAGGTGCTTGTCTCTTTATTTATTAAGTTCAGAAGGCCAGAGGACCCTGGATTATGATCTTGTTTTCTTTCTCACTTCCAGTATTGCAAATCTTCACTGTCCATTTTTGTACTTGCAGGTGTTAATGAAGGTTTTGTCAAATGTAGAAGCTTGTGTCTTAGTCGGTGGGTGTGTATTAGCTGTAGATCTTCTGACAGTTTCTCATGAAGCTTCGGAGAGGACCTCTATTCCTTTGCAATCGAATTTGCTAGCTGCAACTGCTTTCATGGAACCACTCAAGGAATGGATGTTCATTGACAAGGATGGTGAACAAGTTGGCCCAGTGGAGAAGGATGCTATCAGAAGGTTTTGGTCAAAGAAGACTATTGACTGGACAACCAAGTGCTGGGCTTCTGGGATGATTGAGTGGAAGAGATTGCGTGATATTCGTGAACTCCGTTGGGCACTGGCCATTCGTGTTCCTGTTCTCACTTCAAATCAGGTATTGTTTCATTATATTCATAAAAATGATTATACTTATTCCCATGGTTGATATTAAGATGCATTAGAAGATATTTATTGCAAGGATGTATGCATGTAAAGAAGTTACTTATAAGGGATGGATCTTGCATTCAGGTAGGGGAAGCTGCATTGTCCATATTACATAGCATGGTATCTGCACATTCTGATCTAGATGACGCTGGAGAAATTGTAACCCCAACACCAAGAGTAAAAAGGATTTTGTCAAGTCTGCGTTGCCTTCCACATGTTGCACAGGTAGAAACCTTTGCACACAACTCCATTTTTTTGTTCTAAATCTTTAGTTAGAAGATTGTGATTAAAATTATTTTTTTAACAATATCAATATTTTTTTTCGCTTCCAAAATTTCAATAATATTAGTAGGAAAGGTTAAAGTCATCCTTTGAATCTAGAAGAGGGCATTTTAGGGTTTTAGAAATATATGACAAGGCATGTATATTCCATCCATTTCTTTGACAGGTGAAAGTTTGGGGAGAATCTGCCACAAATAATAGTTTAGGTCCTTAAGTGATATATGGAGTTTACCCATTCTTTTATTCTTATATTGGACTTACTATATAACTATAGATTATTTCACCTTTTAAAAAATGTAAAATCTTTTGATTTACCGGGGTGAAGTGGATGACGGCATTTCACTTATGCCATTGTCATTTTATTTTGTAGTGTATAAAGAGTATAGGAGTTTATTTCAACATCTTCTTAGGTTGTTTTGAATTTAAAATTGTTAGTTAAGTTTTCATGATTAAAAGCTATAGGGAAAATTGAAATTACATGGCAATTTGTGGTGGAGTTTGTACATTTCAGCTGCTGATGACCATCCATATTTCCATACTGCAAAACCATGTAGGTTATTCTTACTGGGGAACCAAGTATTGTTGAGGGTGCTGCTGCTTTGCTGAAGGCCATTGTTACAAGGAACCCAAAGGCTATGGTGCGACTATATAGCACAGGTGCATTTTATTTTGCTCTGGCCTATCCTGGATCTAATCTCCTTTCAATTGCACAACTCTTCTCTGTGACCCATGTCCATCAAGCATTCCATGGTGGTGAAGAGGCAGCAGTTTCCTCCTCACTACCTTTGGCAAAGCGTAGTGTGTTGGGTGGGCTTCTCCCTGAATCATTGTTGTATGTGCTGGAGCGCAGTGGTCCAGCAGCATTTGCAGCAGCAATGGTTTCTGATTCTGATACTCCAGAGATTATCTGGACACACAAAATGCGTGCAGAACATCTAATTCGTCAGGTAATTTACATGAGCCATGCCAGCTACTTATTGCGGATTTAGTTTCCATGTTCTTTTATAACAGAACTAGAATGCACTTACATTGCCATTTGTTTTTTGCTGTTGCAGGTTTTGCAGCATCTTGGTGATTTTCCGCAGAAATTGTCACAGCACTGCCATTCTTTATATGATTATGCTCCTATGCCACCGGTGACATATCCAGAGTTAAGAGATGAAATGTGGTGCCACCGATATTACCTTAGAAACTTGTGTGATGAGATTAGATTTCCAAATTGGCCAATTGTTGAACATGTAGAATTTTTACAGTCCTTGTTGGTAATGTGGCGTGAAGAGTTGACACGACGACCCATGGATCTTTCTGAAGATGAGGCTTGCAAAATACTAGAGATATCCCTGGAAGATGTGTCTGGTGGGGATGCAGATAGAAGACAGTCTGCTGGGACAGAAGAGGTGATCTCTAACGCATCCAAGAAGATTGAGAACATTGATGAAGAAAAACTTAAGCGACAATACAGGAAACTTGCAATGAAGTACCATCCTGACAAAAATCCTGAAGGGAGGGAGAAGTTTCTTGCTGTACAGAAGGCTTATGAGCGTTTGCAGGTATTGGTCAACTCCTGCTTGTAAGCATTTTTTTTTTTTTGAGGTATGGATTAGTTTTGAAGTGATAAATTTTAAGAAACTATAGCTGGAACCAGGATTGTTGCTAATGGTTCTAGACTGAAGTGAGAAATGTTTTGTTATCAAACTTCTAGTTCTCTCCCTTTTTTGGACATTTAGCTTCAAAAGTAGCAATACAAATGTATGAAATGCCTTTTTGAGGGTGTTAGGTTTTTATTTTCATAATTGTTTTAAAAGCTAAAGCATGAATTTTAAACCTCATGATCATTCTTCTTTCTTTTTTATATAAAATCATAACGAAGTGAAAAAGATTTAGAAAAGTTGGGAAGTTAATGGTTGATTTATGAGGCTAATATCCTATATCTGATGGTACAGGACCTGTAAAACAGTCTGATCTCTTTCAGAAGATCAGACATATCATTGAATTCTTTTTTGTGTTTTTATCATTGACCTATCACTTGTTCTGTTCTACCTAAGAGATTGATTTGGGAAAAAGTTGCCATTAAAAGGTGATGGTTGTAAGTTGTAATTGTGTTCTCCTGTGTCTGTTTGGACTTTGGATATCATTAACTAAATCTGCAAAAAGTAATATCTATACCAGATTTTTGTGTTTTTATCATTGGCCGAGACTTGTTCTGTTCTACCTAAGAGATTGATTTGGGCAAAAGTTGCCATTAAAAGGTGATGATTGTAACTGTGTTCTCCTGTGTCTGTTTGGACTTTGGATATAATTAACTAAATCTGCAAAAAGTAATATCTATACCAGATTTTTATAAGTCATCTTACTGGATGATGTTTGATAAAGTCTCTTTTATAAGATTGTCTCTCTCTCTCTCTCTCTCTCACACACACACACACCCACTTTGTCATTATTTATTTATTTATTTATTTTCAATGGGCATGGATGAATCAACCAGAATTCCAGCCTAACAAAGATCTATATGTTATTTTACATAACATTCCTATTCATAATCAATAAAGTCTATTGTTAACAAACCAAAAATGAAAAAAAAAAAAAAAACTGAACATATTCATAAGGAGGTCCCATGGTGCTTGTTGTTTGTTGATGATATGGTATTAATTGATGAAACTAAAAGAGTCTGATTCAAAATTAGGTTATGGATAAATACCATAGAAACAATAGGTTTTAAAATAAGTAGAACTAAAACAGAATATACGCAACGCAAATTTAGAAATACTAGGAATACAAATCAGGGTACACTAAGGATTGGAGACCATGGGATAATTCAATGTGACCTCTTTTATTACCAGGTATGATTATCCATAACAAGGGAGATATCAAGGAGGATGTCACCCATATAGTTAGAACAAGATTGGCAAAATGGACCCAGAATTTTATGTTATAGGAAAATACCACTTGGGCTAAAAATATATATAATGGTTGTAGGCCAGCGATGTTGTATGAAGTATAGAGTATTGGGCAGTCAAGAAACAGTATTATCTAAAAAGTGAGTGTGGAAAAATTGCACATGTTAACATGGATGTGTGGGAAAACTAGAAAGGGCAGAATCTAAATTGAGCTTATTCAAAGGAACCTAGGAGGCTAGGAGTGGCTCCAATAGGTGATAAAATGATGGAAAGTAGACTAAGATGGTTTGGTCCATATGCATAGAAGACCACCTACAACACCGGTGAGAAGTGATTTTTTACAAGTTGAAGGGGCTAGAAGAGCTCTAGGGGCAGACTAAAAACGACATGGGTTGAAGTAGTGAGAAATTATGCGAGGGCTCATAATTAAACAAAGGATATGACACTGAATGGAAGGGAGATGGGCAGGAAGAAGTGTTTGAAGGAAACAATTAATGATATTGATGAGATGTGGGCTACGTGCATCTGTTCGTGTGTTTGTGGTTCCAAAAAGTCTTGGAAGAGGATTAATCGTTTCTATAGAGATGAAGACGATTAGCTGAACTACAAGGGGTAGTTTACTGTACAGCTAGGAGTGGATCAGCTACTAATAGAGGGTGATTCTAAGGTGGTTGTGGGGTGGTTACAGAATCCAGAGACTGCAGTTTGGTGCTTCAAAGATGAACTTAAAGATTCAAATGCTTGACAAGAAATTTGTATGTTAGAATACAATCGGTAGGGAGATCTGCCAATGCTATGGCTGATTGCTTAGCCAAGCAAGGGGCAACGAGGGAACATTTGAATTGGGTCAGTTGTAATCCTTTTTAGTGTATGATGGGTTGGAGAGTCACAGCTCATGCCTCTCCAAGTGTCTTCTGTAATAGTTTCTCTTGATTTCTTCTTCTAATAAATTCTTCATTTATCAAAAAAAAAAATATTGTTTCTATAGAGACCTATGTAGTGTTTKCCCTCTCATTCACTCTTTTTTTTATCAGTAAATAAAAACCTTTAATTAATTAAAAGTTACTGTGAAACTACAATGCAAGTGAGTCACAGCTCATGCCTCTCCAAGTGTCTTCTGTAATAGTTTCTCTTGATTTCTTCTTCTAATAAATTCTTCATTTATCAAAAAAAAAAATATTGTTTCTATAGAGACCTATGTAGTGTTTKCCCTCTCATTCACTCTTTTTTTTATCAGTAAATAAAAACCTTTAATTAATTAAAAGTTACTGTGAAACTACAATGCAAGTGAGTCACAGCTCATGCCTCTCCAAGTGTCTTCTGTAATAGTTTCTCTTGATTTCTTCTTCTAATAAATTCTTCATTTATCAAAAAAAAAAATGTTTCTATAGAGACCTATGTAGTGTTTTCCCTCTCATTCACTCTTTTTTTTATCAGTAAATAAAAACCTTTAATTAATTAAAAGTTACTGTGAAACTACAATGCAAGTCATCTTTTTTTTTTTTTTTTGATAAAATATGCAAGTCATCTTTTCATGACTCAGTTTAAAACATATTACAGAATTGCCCAAAATAAAGTGGGTCTATCATCTCCCTGCGTTGCTAGAGCATCTGCCATGCTATTTGCTTCCCTTTTGACCCAATCAAAGCCAGAACTGAATTTTCTTGCTAATGAGCCAATTTTTCTGAAAATGAACCTAAACTTCCAAGGTGCCAAGTCGATTTGTTTTGCCTAATTTATAACTAATAGTGAATCCCCTTCAATTTCCTGCTTTCAGCCTGCTTTGAGTCTTCAAAGCCAAGGTCTAGAGAACAGTGCCACAACTTCTTGATGATTCCGAATAATTCCCCCTATCCCAGCCCTCCCCGGATTGCCAAAGGAGCTGCCATCGAAGTTCAGCTTCAGCATGTTTGGTCCCGGTGGTTTCCTATTTATCCTTGCCTTTTCTCTATGCATTTCTGATTGTGCCACTTCCCTCCAATTCTTTAGTATGTTGTTTATAGATATGTTTCTAAAGAGATCCAATGTTTTAACCCAATGTGTGGTTCTGATCTTTGTGACTTCAATCACTTCCTCCCTTGACTTAAATTTCTCATTGAATATCCTTTGGTTTCTTTCTTCCCATATGGAACATACCATTAGCTGCCCTTACACCTTCCACATACATCTTCCCCTCTTTTTTTGCTGCCTTAGGAAATTTGAGCCTAACAAGTTCACTACACCCTGTGGCGGAGCCCATTTGCAACCAAAGAGAGAGCAGAAGTATTCCCAAATATAAGAAATAAAAGAGCAGGATACAAATAAGTGAGGAAGGGTTTCACCACAAGCCTTGCATAGGATGCACACATGGGGAGAGAGGCACTTATTTGGCCTTCTTTTTTGTAGCACGTCACAGGTGTTTACCTTCCTTAAAAACACTTCCCAACAAAGAGCTTGAACTTTAGGAGGGATTGGTTTGCACCAGATTTCTTTCACAGGAGAAGTCACTCCCACAGAGTCCGTATTGGTAAGTTGGTTAAAAAATGATGCACAAGTAAACAGACCATCAGGGGTTGGATGCCAAATTCTTTTTTCTGAGGCAGATCAATCCAAGTAGACCTTTTCCAATAGAGAAAGTAGATGAAGGATGGAATTGCACTCAGTATCTCTCACACCTCTTTTGAAGCCAAGATCCCAATTTACCCCACTTTCTAAGGACAAACCTAACATGGCAACAGGTTCAGCCTTCAGGAAAAGTAGCTTAAGGGGCTGATCCCTGAGCTAAAGGTCTTCCCAAAATAAAACTTTATTCCCATTCCCAACATCAAGAGGAATGAAATCAAGGAAAGTAGGCAATACCTCAGTGATTGCTTTCCAGGGGAGCTTGAAGATGTATTTGAAGCTAGTTTTGCATCCCAACCATTGTCTGATACACGATGAATGCTTACAATGACCCTGTGCCAAAGTCTTTCTTCCTCACGAGGAAACCTCCACAGTCATTTGCCTAGAAGTGTTGTATTTCTCTTCAATACATTTCCAATGCCTAACCACCTTGCTCCTTGGTTTACAAACCTGTTCCCATTTTACCAAGTGGTCTTTCTTTCCTCTCTTGGCTCCCACAAAAAGCCCCTCAGTATCTTCTCTAGCTACCTAGCTACCTTTTTTGGGATCCTAAAGGTGGAAAGGAAGTAGGTTGGCAAGTTTGCTAGGGTGGACCTAATCAAAGTGATTCTACCCTCCATTGATATGTAACTTCCACATGGGTAGTTTTTTGGTGAATCTTTCTACAATTGGCTTCCAAAAGCTCTCAGACTTCGGATCCCCTCCCCCCAAGGCATACCAAGATATTCTAGGGGCCAAGAATTCACCTCACAACCTAGTATATCTGCTGAGGACTGGACAACATGCTCTTCAAAGTTGATTCCTACCACATAACTCTTACTCTAATTGACCATCAACTTTGAGATCCGTTGGAAGTCATCTACTAAAGCTTTCAAGTTTCTCAAGTTGGGTTCTTCACAATCTTCACAAAAGATAGTTATGTCATCTGCAAACTGCAAGTTAGTCACTACAACCTCATCCCTACAAATTCTCCAACCTCTAAACAGACCTTCTTGATCAGCCACCAAGGTAAACAAGAAAGGGGAGAGAGGATCTCCCTGCCTTAATCCTCTTTTAGCGGGTAAGGTGTCTTTTGCCACTTCATTTAGCAGAATTGAGAAGTGTGCTGATTTCACACAGCCAAATATCCACTTTCTCCATCTAGCTCCTAGGCCAATTTTCTGCAAAGACATAAGAAGAGGGACCAGTCCACCATATCATAGGCTTTTTCCAAATCCAACTTACAGATTAGACCTCTCATTCTCTTATGCTGATGTATTTTTCATGTGTTGAGTTTTCTTGATCCGGGTGCTGCCTCATCACCTGCTGATGGTTGTATTAAGCAATGAATATTTTTCTTTTTACTCTTCAAAAAAATATTGGAACATGATTCATGTAGCTGACCCCATATAGTTGGGGCATGGCTTAGTTGTGTGCAAGTGCATATGCTTAACCTAGATGTGTGTTTGTATATGTGCCAAAGGCTATGTCCATATCCAGTCCACCCCTCCCAAGAACATTTGGTAATGGCCTTTTATACATACATACCTATGTACGTATTCGCACTTACTGAATGGATGGATACACAGACATACACACACACTGAATGTGTGTGCAGTGGGAGCTGGTTGTCCATATCTTGTATTCTCCTGTTTTTGCTTCTTAATGAATGGATGGATACCCACACACACACACACACACACACACTCTCTCTCTCTCACACTTCAGTACAACTTAGGGAAATCTGGCTCTCTAATTCATCTCTCTTTTCTAAGTTTTGCTGACAATATAACAATATATGTTGCATTTTCAGGCTAGCATGCAAGGATTGCAAGGTCCACAACTTTGGAGGCTATTGCTTTTACTGAAAGGACAATGCATATTGTATAGGCGGTATGGAGATGTGTTGGAACCCTTCAAATATGCTGGTTATCCAATGTTGCTCAATGCTGTAACTGTGGATCAGGATGACAACAATTTTCTCTCCTCAGATAGAGCACCCCTTCTTGTTGCTGCCTCAGAGCTCATTTGGCTGACGTAAAATGCTCATTACCAATACCTCCTGTTTGTCAAACTTCAATCTATCTTTTGACTGATAATTTGATGGCTCACACTTAATATTGTGTTTTCCCTGCTTTCCAGGTGTGCATCTTCTTCACTGAATGGTGAAGAGCTTGTCAGAGATGGTGGAGTACCTCTTCTTGCAACTCTTCTTTCTCGTTGCATGTGTGTAGTTCAGCCAACTACTCCTGCAACTGAATCATCTGCCATTATTGTTACAAATGTGATGCAAACATTTTGTGTCTTAAGTCAATTTGAGAGTGCCAGAATTGAGATGCTCAAGTTCGGTGGATTGGTTGAGGACATTGTGCATTGTACTGAACTAGAGCTTGTGCCTGCAGCTGTTGATGCTGCACTTCAAACTGCTGCACATGTTTCTGTATCATCTGAAATGCAGGATGCGTTACTAAAAGCTGGTGTACTATGGTACCTTTCTGGTTTGGCTTTCCTCTATTATAATTTACGGTTGGTCAAAAGAACCATTACAAGAAAGAGGAGCACAATAAAAGGGTGTCAAAATTATGCCAAGATAACAATGTCAAGATGGGAAGTCACCATAGAGACCTACCCTAGAAAGAGATCCTCTTTCTTATGTGCTACACGAGTAAACAAGTTTAAATTGTTGGTCTGAGCCACCATCATCTAAGACTTGTCCCAACTTTATGGGGTTGGTTACATGAACCCTATTCTGCCATTCCATTCTATCCAGTGAGGTTTAACTTATTGGTCTGGGTATTGGAGTTAATTGTGAAAGCTTATATCCTTTTTATTTTACTGTGGTTAAATTATGTAATGTCTGGAATATTGATTGAATTTTTTTCCAGGTATCTTTTACCGTTGTTGCTTCAATATGACTCAACTGCAGAGGAAGCTGAAATGACAGAGGCACATGGTGTTGGTGCTAGTGTGCAAATTGCTAAAAATATGCATGCTGTTCGAGCATCTCAAGCACTGTCAAAGCTCAGTGGTTTGTGTAATGATGAAATTCTAACACCCTATAATAAGGGTGCAGCAGATGCCATTAGAGCTTTGCTAACTCCTAAGCTGGCCAATATGTTGAAAGACAAGTTACCCAAGGATCTTTTGACTAGTTTGAACACAAATATAGAATCCCCAGAGGTAAATGCAGATCCTTGTTTAAAGTTTGCAAGTCTTTTAGAATTACTTCTAGTGAATGGAAGCTTTAACCTAACATAAAATGGGAATAAAGGAAAATAGAAGTTTGAAATTTCTTACATTTCTTTTGACAATGATATTGGTGTAAGTTCATTTATTGGTTACAGATTTATCTTACATTAGAAACTGAGCAGAAAGAATGAATAAATATTAGAAATATAATAATTATTATTAAACATTAAAAGGATAAAATACAAACTGTAGAGCATAGAGCTGTGTAGCCATTACCTAACACCGGAGGATAATAAAACGGGTTACTTAACGCAGTCTCAAATGTTGTTGGTCAATTTATAAATTATTTCTGAATGCAGATTATTTGGAACTCTTCAACCCGAGCGGAACTACTGAAATTTGTGGATCAACAGCGTGCTAGTCAAGGTCCTGATGGCTCGTATGACTTGAAGGAGTCACATGCCTTTAGATATCAAGCACTGTCAGAGGAACTTCATGTTGGAAATGTCTACCTTAGGGTATACAATGACCAACCTGATTTTGAGATAAGTGAACCGGAAGCTTTCTGTATTGCACTCCTGGAATTTATATCAGGTCTAGTGCACAATCAATGGGATGCAGATTTTGATGTTCAGAACAAGTCTGATCCAAGTGATTCAGTCCCAGTCTCATCTGAACATCCTAATGATACAGTTAATGAACAGCATGCTCATGATGATTCTTCAGTGATCTCTGATGTAGAAGTAACAAGGAAAAGTGATCTTGAGCTGGCGAAGAACCTTAAAATGGGATTGACCTCTCTTCAGGTATATTGCCGGTTTGTGCATCTGTATTTCCTTCTTCCTTCATTTTGAGCATTGACATTTTATGTTTTTAATTGCAGAATTTACTGACAAGCAACCCAAATCTGGCTTCAATATTTTCTAGTAAAGAACAGCTAGTACCTCTTTTTGAATGTTTTTCTCATGCATCAGAAAGCAATATCTCTGAACTTTGCCTCCGTGTGCTTTCACTTTTGACGGCCCATGCTCCGTGCTTGGAGGCTATGGTGGCAGATAGGACAAATCTTCTAACTTTATTACAGATGCTGCATTGTGCACCCACTTGTCGGGAAGGGGCTCTACATGTTCTTTATGCATTGGCAGGCACCGCTGAGCTTGCTTGGGCTGCTGCCAAGCATGGAGGTGTAGTTTACATTCTTGAGCTTCTTTTGCCTTTGCAAGGTACAATTTCGAACCTCATTTTACTACTAATAAAATGAAATGATTATGTTGTTGACAAGTGCTGTGCTGTGCAGAAGAAATTCCTCTACAACAAAGAGCAGCAGCTGCATCCTTGTTGGGAAAACTTGTTGGACAACCAATGCATGGTCCTAGAGTGGCTATAACACTAACTAGATTTCTTCCAGATGGTCTTGTCTCTGCTATCAGGGATGGACCCGGTGAGTCTGTAGTCACTGCCCTTGAGCAAACCACTGAAACACCGGAACTTGTTTGGACACCAGCAATGGCAGCTTCTTTGTCTGCACAAATTTCTACAATGTCATCAGACCTCTATCGTGAGCAGATGAAAGGACGTCTTATTGATTGGGATGTGCCTGAGCAAGCATCTGGGCAACAGGAAATGAGAGATGAACCACAGGTTTGATCTATATTTACTGTGATTATTATAGTTAAACATGGCTTTGTACTATTTTGTACTCAAATACCCATGGTCACACAGGTTGGTGGGATTTATGTAAGACTGTTCCTGAAAGATCCTAAGTTTCCGTTGCGAAATCCAAAGAGATTCCTAGAAGGCCTATTGGATCAATATGTTTCGTCCATTGCTGCTACACATTATGATGTACAAGCTGTTGAGTCTGAGCTACCATTGCTTCTCTCAGCTGCATTAGTGTCTTTGTTACGAGTACACCCAGCTCTTGCTGATCATGTTGGGTATCTTGGATATGTACCGAAACTAGTTGCTGCAATGGCCCATGAAGGAAGACGAGAAACGATGGCCTCTGGGGAGACGAAGGATGGTGAAAGAGTGGATGAGATTTATGAAACTGAGGATGGACAAATTTCACCTAGTACACAAACCCCACAAGAACGTGTGCGACTTAGTTGCTTGCGTGTTCTACATCAACTTGCGGCTAGTACAACTTGTGCGGAAGCTATGGCTGCAACAAGTGTTGGGACTCCTCAGGTGAGTCAGGCTCATGTTATTTGATTTGTCTCCTTGGAATTTTCCAATCATCTTTACTTTTCGCCAGGTAATGTGCATGTATTGATTCACCTCTTGGTCTTGTTTTCAGGTTGTTCCATTGCTAATGAAGGCAATAGGGTGGCAAGGAGGGAGTATACTAGCTCTTGAGACACTAAAACGTGTCGTTGTTGCAGGAAATAGAGCTAGAGATGCACTTGTTGCACAAGGACTGAAGTGAGTAGCTTTTTTCCAATGCATAAAGAGCTTTTCTATACTAAGCAGATTAGAGCTAACCAATGCAGAAGTAATGACTAGGTGCTTTTAACAACTATAAATTACCTTAGCAGCTGAGATTTATTTTAGCTTCTAACAAGTTATTCTTTTCTCATTTACAAGGTTGAAATTGTGATGCACAAGCACTATGAGATTTTATTAATAGTTAAAGCATCGATTTATTGTTGCCTATGGAATCCAAAGCTGCTAGGTCCTCTATTGCTCACGTGGGACCAGTAGTGGGGGCAATAACCCATTAACCTTAAAAAAAAAAAAAAAAAAAAAAAAAAAAAAAAAAAAACTAAACAATTTTTGTTCTAACCTCGCCCCACTTTTCCTCTTTCACTTCAGGAAGGTCAATTGCATGCAAAAAACTGAGGAAAAGAAATTCTACTAGTCACTCATTAGCCATTCATAAAACTCAAAACAGAACCAAAAAAAACAACAGTTAAAGAAAACATACTCACCTAATGGTAGAAAGAATAACTTTAGCTCCATTTCCAATCAAATGTTTGATCATCAGGACAGCCACCCGAATCCTGGTACCATTCTGGTTATTATCCTAGGGAGCATTCAAATCAGCTCTGACAAAGACCTTCTTCCCCCTTCAAATCTGCAGTGGTCAGATTTCCAACATTCTTCACCATCAACACAACACCTATAACATCCCTTCCATTGCTCCCAGCAACTGAAATTTTGGCTGTAACATGTAGAGAGAGCAGAGGATCAACTATAGAGAAATCTAGTCAGCAGAGTGATGCACAGAAGCTGGCACTCTGGAGATATGGAGAAGAGAGAAAAACTGCAACTTGGACTGAATAGATGCTGTAAGTAGAAGAGGAGGATGGAAGGAAAGAAATTGAAGTGGGTAATGCGGCAGAAGTCATTGTTGTTTTTTTATTATAGGTAACAATAAAATTTTATTATCGACAGCAGCAATATACAAGATTTACAAGAAACCCTTGGGAAATGAGGCATTATCTCCAATTTAGTTTAGTTACATTTTACAATTGAGGTCAAAACAATTGATCCCTATGTTTAGCTAATGCATCAGCCTTGCAATAAGCCAACCTTTGCACCCATTTGGTTTTCACTTGACAATTCCTAGTCATCTATTTATTCTTCTCGAGTTCATGCCTATAGGATCACAAAGCTCTCTTACTATTTAGCAGCCAGCCAACTACTACATGTGAATCCCCCGCATAAATGAGCAGCTTGCTCAAATTCATTTCACTAGCACATTGTTCTGTTTGTAAAACACAGCCATAATCTCTGCTCTTAAGGAGTCACCAACTCCAATGGAACCCAAGAATAGAGAAGTCAATAGTTTTATGAATCCCTCCTTTGGTGGTATTTGTTCCTTTTGGACCATGGGCTTCTAAAAGGCAGACCTAGCCACTATCCCCTCATTCCTTACTATGTCCTCTGTTAAAAAGGTGAGAAAGCCTCCACAGATTTTACCCAATTAACTACTCTTAACTATAATGCACTCAATTAATGCTTCCTTGATTCTTTCCCATACCTTGAAAATTCTTGCATTCCTTTCTTTGCACAAAGTCCAAATAATTGTTTTTCTAGTACACCTCCACATAATCCTTCCCTCTTCTTTGACCATGAGAAAGTTGTTAGGGAAAATAAGGTCTTCATATTAGGAGGAGAGTGTTCACCTGGATGGCTGCACCCAAACAAAGAAAGAACAATACCCAAATACAATTAGCAAGTGGAGAGGAGATTAGTAAATGATAGCAAGTCTCACCTCCAGTTTTGCAGAGAATCCACCAATTTTAGAGATATACACTAGTTTGATCTCCTATTCTGAAGGGCATCCAATGTATTAATCCTCTCATGAAAAATCTCCCAAAAAAAAAACGTTATTTTGGGAGGGATAAGCTTACACCAAATTATCTGACAGGGAAGAGCACAAGATTTTAAAGAAGAGGAACATGAGAAGGATCCAGAAGGATGGAGAGTCCAAATATAACCATCTGACTTAGAAGGATCCAAGAACACCCCTTTAAGAATTTGTAAGTAGTTATGATGGGAATATCTGAATCTTAAAGACCTCTTCAAAAAATCAAGTCCCATTTGAACCCATTTGAAGTTGGGGAGGGAAGAAGAAATTTGGAGACTGGCTCCCTTTTGAAAGAGTACAGTGAAAACAAAGAGGGAAATCAATCTTTTAAACGGGTTCTCCAGCCCATAAATCTTCCCAAAACTTGATTGTATTGCTGGAGTTAACATCTGATATAGCTTAGAAAGTTAGGAAGGACCAAGGATGGCATTGATTGCCTTCCATGGGGAAGTTGAAGTTGCCCTTAAAGATAAATTAGCATCTAATCCATTGTCCATCGGCCTGTGAATGATTACCACCATTTTGTACCATAGTTTCTCCTTCTCAATAGGTAGCCTCCACAAGTACTTCCCTAGCAATGCCTTATTCCTTATGTCAACATTACCTTTGCCGAAACCCCTTCGTCTTTCCTTCTACACACTACCTCCCATTTAACAAGGTGGTCCTTTCTCCTTTCACCTTGGCCCTATAGAATGTCTCTCATCACTTTCTCCATCTTCCTAGCTGTGGCTTTGGGGATTCTAAACACTGATAGGAAATACACTCGATCATTGTTGTGGAAGGAAAGAGCAGAAAGTAGACATAAAGGAGTAGAGCAAAGCAGAGAAACGTGGTTGACTGGGTTGTTCTGTTTTGCTGTGTGGTATGAGAATGTGAGAGATCTCTGCATTGTGAGAAAAGAAGATGAAGGGATGGTTTCTTTGCAGGGCTCAAAGGAGGAGAGGAAGAGAGATGGAAGGTGAAAAAGGAAAGGCAGTTAGGGTTAGAACAAAATTATTTTAGTTTTTTTTTTTAATAATAGGGTTAATGGGAGCTTAACACCCCTGCTACCAGTTGCACACAAGCAATAGGCTACACGAATTGGAGACATGTGGTGTATCTATATTAGATAACCCATAATGGACACACCATAGATCTAGCAGATCTGAACTCTTGTTTAGGTAGGTAATGAACTTGGCTGGTCAAGACACCTACTGACTTCATTGGGGTCTTGGGGTCTATATTGTCATTTGCTATTAGGCAATCAATTGTACTGAAGAAATTATAACAAAAGCCTTATTTAATATAATATTTTTTTATCAGCAACATGAAAATCAGAATTTCATTAAAGATTAACAAGAATTAAGTACAACAAGAAAGCAAACCCATTACAGAATTAGCCCCACAACTATATTACAATTGTGCCCAGTACATATGTTGTCTTTGAACCCCTTGCTTAGCTAAACTGTCTGCGAAACTCTTGGCAGATCTTCTTATCCATCTTACTTGAACATTCAAATCTTTTGAGAACCATTTGAAGCACCTAAACTCATTTCTAAGCTGCCAAATCACCCCCTCACCTTTTTTCAGCCAACCCACTACAATCTTTGAATCACCTTCAATGATTAAACTGCCAACTCCCAATATTATTTAATATTATATTTCATTGTATTATATTAAACATAGAGTCCGACTATGACACTGAAAAGGTATGATATCTTAAAAACTGATAACCAATCAACCATTATCATTCCTTTTAATGGATTTATTACTTTACCTCTTCTCAAAAGAAATCAATCAAGTGGTATTCATTGAAATTCACATGAACTTCTGATTGGTTAAAGACCGTTCAGTATCCTACCTTTCTAGCATCATAAAAATTGCCTTAAATGTAATATGTGAAAGCTGATGATGATTGGTGAAAGCCTCTCTGAGATAATACATAAACCGAAGAGTTGAAATAAGGCTACCTTGGGAGGTAGATTTGCCAATACATCTTAATCCACCCAACTCCAGCTCTAGCTAGATTATCTTTCATTGAGTTGGTGAGTGGATGAACCTCTGTATCCATTTGAACAAAATTGGCCCTCTTGAAGCTAAGTATTAATAAAATTTCTTTCATTGTCAACACTTGTAGAATGACATAATTTTAATGTCGTAGGGTTGGTCTTGTTGAAGTACTTCTTGGCCTTCTTGATTGGAGGGCTGGAGGAAGGAATGGATTTTGCTCTGAAATGAAGTGGAATGAATCTGAAGCTTCTATCGGGCGTGTGTTGGCAATAGAGGTACATTCCTGATATCTTGTTTGTTTGACTTTAGCATGCAATTTACAACTTACAGTCAACATTTATATTAATTACTTTTAAAATCTCTCGGTTTCTAGGAGTTGTTTTGTCATTAGTCTGAGATTGATTGTTATTATCTTCCTTGCACTTAATAGTACTTTCAGGCAGATGACATCTTCCGAACTTTTTTTTTTTTTATCAGCAAGAAAAGAGAAATTTTTATTAATGCTGAGATTGAGTACATAATTTAGATAGGTGGATAGCCTCGGTAGGCACTTCAATATTTAAAAATTACAATAACCCCTCAATTTACCAGTCCCCAGAACATATATTCTCTTGCTGCCCTCTGTTTTTCAAGCCCATCAGCTATGCTGTTTGCAGCCCGAGGTACCCAATTAATGCTAGTGTTCATCTGCCTCATCATGCTTCTTATCTCCCTGACAATATGCCTATGGTACCATGTTTCCTCCTGATTACTCTCCAACCATCTTGTGACTGCTATGGAATCCCCTTCAATGATAACATTTGTAGAGTTCAATGATTTTGTGTTTCTTATGCCAGTTAGGGACTGTCGTTATTTCTCTTGTGGAGTCTACCACACCAATTGGTCCTGAGAATATAGCAATTGTGTTCCTTCACTATTCCTTATCACTCCCCTACTCCTAAAATCCAATGCCTTCCAGACATTCATGATATAGGGTTTGATACTATGTAACTTTTTCCTATTCCAAGTTCATAGGTTATACAGATGGAAGGATAAAAGACATCTTGAATCTTGAACTAGAAAATGGTTGTGAGCAACCATATCTAGGTCTTAATGGTGCTCATTGTTGGATCCCACCTAGGTCATCCTTGTCAAATTCAAGTTATGTTCCAATAAGTTAATCTAACCCCAAAGGTAGCGGATTGTGCTTACAGACCTTCTAGCAATCATGGAAGTTTGGTTGAAAGGCATGGAGGGGGGGGGGGGAGTCTAGGGAGATGTCCTCCCACACTTTGTTTGGAATGGGGAGGGGCTGTAGTATCCCGGCTGGCATCTGAGTCTCATACTTTTGGCGTTGACACACATCACAGGAGGACGCAAATTCCTGGACACTTTTTCTCATTCCGGTCCAATAGAACTGAGAATACAACCACTGATATATGCGGAGGATGCCGAAGTGGCCTCCTGTGGAAGAGGAGTAATATAGTTCAAGGAGTTGTGGATTGTCGGCGGAATGGGTCGGCAGGACAAACTTGCTCTTGTAGAATAATTCTCCACCTATTGCCGAATAATTAGGAGCTGAACTGGGATCTTGAACCCATTTATCCTTAATGGATTGGAGTTGAGAGTTTTGCTAGGCTTCCTTCCTAATGTCTTCGATTAGTGAGTACATGGACTGATACACCAACATAGGCCCACATTCAAACTGTCTAGAGAGGGTGTCTACGACCTTGTTACTAGTACCACTCCTATACTCGATCTGATAATCAAACCCAAGAAGTTTGGCCACCCATTTCTGTTGTGTTGTTGTGAGGATCTTCTGCTCCAAGAGGAACTTAAGGCTTTGGTGGTTTGTGCGGATAGTGAATCGCCACCCTAGGAGGTAGGACCTCCACCGTTGAACAGATATCACCACAGTGATAACTCCTTCTTGTAGGCTGATTTAGGCATAGTGGAGCTCGAAAGGGCCTTGCTGAAGAAGGCTAGAGGCTTGTCTTCTTACATGAGCACTGCCCCTACCCTGAAATTGGAAGCGTCAGACTCAATGACAAGTTCCTTAGTGAAATCCGGTAGAGTTAGGGTGAGCGGTGAGGATACTGCTGGTTTGAGATTTTCAAAGGCCTGTTGGGCTATCGAGCCCCAACTGAATGAGTCTTTTTTCAGCAATTGAGTTAGAGAGCCTGCTATCCTTCCATAGTCTCTAATAAACCGTCGGTAGTAACCAGTGAGCCCAAGGAACCCCCTGAGGTCTCTCACAGATCTGGGCTAGGGCCATTGAATCATTGCTTCTCTATTTTCTGGGTCTGCTGCCAGTCTGCTACACTTCCGTTCCCCACGACATGCCCTAAGTACTGTATCCAAGTTCATCCGAAGGCATATTTTCTTTCCTTGGCATACAACTAATTTTCCTTGAGAGTTTGAAGGGCAATCTGCAAATGGGCCAAATGTTGTTCCCACCCTGGGCTATACACAAGAATGTCATCAAAGAAAACCAAGATGAATTTACATAAGTAGGGGGGCCTAAAAACATCATTCATGAGGGCCTGAAAGGTGGAAGGGGCATTCATCATCCTGAAGGGCATGACTAGAAATTCATAATTCCCATCATGGGTGTGGAATGTTGTCTTATGCACATCATCTTCATGGACCTGGATTTGATGGTAGTCAACCTGTAAGTCAAGTTTGGAGACTACCTTTGCTGAACGCAGCTCATCCAAGAGTTCGTCAATGACGGGAATGGGAAATCGGTCCTTGATAGTGACAAGGTTCATGGCCCGGTAATCCATGCAGAACCGCCAAGTTCCATTCTTTTTTAACCAACAACACAGGTGAAGAGAACGGGCTGTGACTGGGTTGTATTAACCTTTTGTTGAGTAATTCTTGGACCATTTTCTCGATCTCATTTTTTGGTAGTGGGGATAACAGTATGGCCTCACATTAGTAGGGGAAGTCCCTATCAGGAGGGGAATTCGATGATCTTGGTTTCAGCTAGGTGGCAAAGCAGGTGGCTCCTTTATTCATCAAAAAAAAAAAAAGCAGGTGGCTCCTAGAATATTGAGGCAAACTCAGCGAGTATCTCTCTTAGTTAGGGGTAATACAGGTGGTCTTCCATGGGTCCATTTGGCTGGGACAAAGTTGGGTTGATTGTTACCGTCTCTAGGTGCATGAAAATGGGCTGTCCTAGATCCCAAATCTGTCTACTGACAGATGCAAAGGCTCTCCTCCCTCGATCCCCTACCCACATGGCCCTGTATATGGATCACACTCCCTTCATAAAGTCCATTGTCAA